GGCCCGTTTGTTAGGGTACTGCTCCACCATTTCCTTGGTGTTGATGGGAGAAACCACGAAAAACTACCGATCAGAGCAGCCGGTCTCTAGAATTCTCCTCCGAACAGCGACTGAATTCGACGTAGCTGACAAGTTAGTGTCGAAAACCCTGCAACCGTCGGGACTAGAACATACGACCTCTCGGTCAGAGGCACTGCAGTGACATCAGTTGATGTACTGATCTACCTCTCCTGGTTCTCTCATGGCCGGGGGCTGCATAAAATAGCTGCCTGCGAATACTTCATACACCTGTACTTTGCACATTTTATAATCAAGACACGTTGTAGATTCGTTGCATTTCCGTTTTTACTGTGCTTGTGATCATCTTTTTTGTATGAAGTTTATATTTTCCTACGATTTCAACACTATTTCATTGAGGAACTAATTTTGTCGTATTCAACTGGAATTGGAAAATATTTTGAGATATTATTTGAATTATAGTTAAATCATATTTTTGAAATAACCACATTTACCAATATTGAGGATCCTATAGTTTAGAAACATACTAAAATAAGGACTCAATAAGTGAGTAAGATTCCAATTTAACCCTGCATGAAATAAAATAAATAAATAAATACATAATATTCTTAACAAAACCTACTCTCAAGAAAAATTTCAAATATATTTCCTTACTCATTAAATTTCATAAGCCATTTATTTTTCGCCATCGCTAAATATTTAGTAATTCCCCCCGAAGACTTTCTTGTCAAACTGAGCCCGAAAATGTTATCCTCTTCTACGATTCCCAGTATTCTTCGCGTTATGTAGCCAAAGGCACCTGTGTGACACTGTCTTCCAGGCGGAAGGCATTATTTCGAGCGATAGCGATGCGAGCGCATAATGTCGGCCCTTTTTCTGCTCCTGACCTTTATCACGTCCTAAACACGTTAAACGAATACCCGGCGTTTTTGCACAGAGCATATGGTTGCAGTGCTTTTTCCACACTAGGGAATACGAATGCTAAATATGCATCGTAATTTACCCGGAATGTTGTTTTATTCTCCGTGCACACATGAAGGTTATGTTCCACTGTGTCGGCTGCGAGAATGAAATTTCGTCAGTGTACCCCATAGGCACATAACCAGACATAAGATATGAAAAGAATAGATAGTAAAGTACGTCGTTGATTCTAATGAAATCAAACATCAAATAAGAGATTAGAGAAAAGGAAAAGAAGCAGCAAAAAAGAAGCGCTAATGGAGTTTTGAAATACGACCTGTTTTTAAAATTAAAGTAAAGAACGAGAATTTGCAATTAACAGAATGATTTTTTGAAACATCGAAATCAGTATGAAGAATATGAACACTTTGCAAACCAAAATGATTGATACGTGAGAGCTTTTATATCATTTTGTGTTATCTTCGAAACCTTCGTACTACGTTTACGTATTTCTGTGGTATTTAAATACTTCTGTAATACTTCAGACAACTGCAATTGTTTGAAATTTTTATGGTGTATTACGAACAACAGTACGATTAAAGTAAGATCTCCAGACATGCTCATATTTTTGGAAAGTATTTAACTGAAGATCATTTTCGACTATACATGGTTATTATTGCTCCCATTTGCACGATTTCTTCGGAATTAAAAAAGCTCATTCACCTCGTGGGGAATTATAGGATGTTAGACGATTAAGGAGGAAGTTTATTCACATTCACAAATAAAAGAATTCTATGCCTTGGTATAAAATGATCAGGATCCACGACCATATGCTTGGGTCGCAATAGGAAAGCAAAAATCCAACACCACGGATTTTTTTACTTCAGATTGTCCCTCGTTACAACCGAGTATTAATCTTTGGCAGAAGAGCTTCAACGGGCATGACGTTCGCCAAGTCGACCAAAAGAACATCTGAGGGCGACAGCTTACATGAGTCGGTCGATACTGTCAACGCGATGTATCTGCGAGCGATAAGCAATCGATCGTGTAATGGGTGACCAATCAAACTGCCATTAAAGTAACGCGCTATAAAAAAGGGATCGCCCGTTCTTTTTGCTTCAGTTTGGGAGTTGTGAATCATGCACAATTGTAATGCGCGACTGTATCAGAGAGTATGTACACTCACTTGTACGAGGTGGCACGTATAAATATAATGAAATAAAAAAGACTCAACTCACAGTTCAGCTCTAGCATTATTTTTAAAATAAAAGAGGATTTATTTACGCACTCCATTTATTAGAACAGTAGAAATACTTAGAAATATTGCCTTTTCAGTATTTTGTACTCCCAGGTATGGATTATTAAGCAATAATGAAAAGTTATTGAGCTTCTTGTTAAAGTTTCCCTTTGATTCTTGTAGATTGTTAATTGGTAAATGTATTTCATAATGAATTCATTAGTGATGAAAGACAAACCACATTCGCAAATCATCCGGACTAATGAAGCTACTTAGAGAGCCACCAGAAAATGGAGAACAAAGAAGCAAGGTAAACAAGCAAAAGTACTTTTTTTTCAAAGGTCAGGTTTGGCCCCTAAATTGCTTGAGTTCTGCCAATGAACCTCCTTCGGTGTGTTGTAGCGTTGCCACGGCAACAAAGGTACACATTGAGGTAGTGGCTTGCGGCTAAAGCATTTTCCATGTACACCTTTGGTAATTTTTTAGCTCTTTCATCACTGGCTTTTTTTGAAGAATGACATTCCAAGCCAAAAAGTGTGGTGTGTTCTAAGAAGACCTTATATTGTGTAGGTTAATTTGCATTCGTTTTGTATTTCCTCAAATTTTCCCCTCAATATTTTGCATTTAAGTCCACAATCTTTCTAATATTTATTATTATTGTAAGTAGTTTTTAAACCTGGGGGCAACACAGTATACTTTACATACAATTATATAAACATATTTTGGAGTAGTAATAATAATAACAACAATAATAATAACAAATATTTACAACATTAACTCTAAATGTTTAACAATATAACTCTAAATGTATAAAAGTGTATATAAACTCTAAAAGTATGCAATATTTTGACGCATTATTCACGCTATTTTCTAACTACTTCATATGACATTACACTCACTTCACTCCACTCAATGACACTTCACTTCTTTCGCATTTTATAATCCACTTAACAACATGGCACGACACATCAATAAGCGCACGACCTTAATAATAAATAGATTGTGAAATTAATAAAAACAGAAGTAAACAATGGTAAAAACAGTAACTGGTTTAATAACTGCCTAAGCTATCAAGTAATAAAAAGTATTATTACTCAATAATTTATTTTTAACTTTTACTCACCTAGCAAAAAGAGTCCAAAGACTGTCGTAGGCAACTTTTACGACTCCATAATAATTCTGTTGGTAACGGAAAAGTTTTCAACATCTTTCCTGTGTGCTATCAAGTGTTCCTTACGGTGCTTCGTTGGGTTTCTAAACATTTATTTAAAAAAATCCAACCAGCAAGAAAAATATTTCACTACGTTTAATCACTATTGATATTGCGTTTACATTTTTGATATAATTACACTATTTCTTTTGAAATTCTAATGTATTTCACTGTCTGTTTGACTAGTTGAACTCCTACAAACTTACCTCACGTTGGAAATAATATTTTTAAGAGAAAAAATGTTTGTTACTTGAGGTGCACTTTGAAGAGCCAGCCACTCATATCTGTGTTACAGCATTTAAAAGTCGGTACTGTGTGTAGGTAAGCATTCTAATTTTGCCGAGAGCTTTTACCAAACAGACAAACGTCGATGCCAGAATTAATTGGCACAGAATATCAAATAGTCAATTTCATTTTACTGGAAATCCGAGGAGCAACTCTTTTCTGACCACCCTGACCACTAATTGAAGGGACGAAGAAAGCTAGAATTTCAAAAATATAATGGAAGATCACATTTATATGCATGGATTGCAACTTTGCCGGTGATCCTAACTCTCACTCCACTCTCTCTCTCTCTCTCTCTCTCTCTCTCTCTCTCTCTCTCTCTCTCTCTCCCTACCTATCAATCTACCTATCTCTATCTCTCTATCTCGCTCTCTCTCTCGCTGTTTATTGCCTTCTCTCTCGTTCTCTCACAATCTCTCTCCCACTCGCGCGCGCTCTCTCGCGCTCTCGCTCGTTCTCACTCTCTCGCTCGCTCGATCTCGCTCTATCACTCGCTCCCTCTCGCTTCCTCTCGCTATCGCGCTCGTTCGCTCCCACACACAAAGAGGAGTAGAAGAGGTGGAGAATGCTCGGGGATTCGCAGATCGCCAAAGGGTCCGCGGTAGACGTGTGGGGGAGGCGGGTAGAGAAAGACAAACTATTGACATTAATACGTATGTTCCTCTGAATGGTTTCTAACGTTATCCTGTAGCATAACTTTTAATTTACCGAATATTGAAATTAGTGTTTTTGTTGAACGAGTGATTTTTTATGTGAGATGATCAGTTAAGTGCAATAATGTGATTGTGTGTTTATACCTCTTTCTCTTCTGGATTCCGTTCCTGCCAGTTTTTATAAATTAAAATATAGATCCCACTTACGGAGTCAGTTGGAATTGGCTCTTAGATATTGGCAATGTCAGTTAGCAAGGGTTGGCAAAAGAAATTAAAATTCTCTTTGAAAGGTGATGAAAATCCGAGCTTTTTAGTGGGATGATTATTTCAAGTTCGGGGCCTGAAGGAATATTAATCTAATGACTTCAGTAATGTTTTGAATTTGTGTCAGGGTGGTGTGTTTCCTGCCATTGACAGTGTTTTTAGTTAGCAATGTATCTAAGGAACTACTGTCATACCAGTTGATCATGTCTTCACAATTAATAGTGTTTATTTCTTTTGTGTGTGTGTGTTTACAAGAGACAATGAATTATCATCCTCTCCAATAACGTAATTAAGAATTTTTATGATGACACATGGCTTGAAAAATGGATACACATTCTATTTGCGTTATATATGCAATGAAAACACCATTACATGTATTGATATACCTGCATATACTTGATACTTGTTATAATTAATGTACGTTTTGTTGTAGGTATGTGAATTACGTGCTAACTCTGAGTCGCAGTATTTTCGCAGTTCATGGAAGGTAAATGAATAGTACTATTTTTATAATATAATATCATTATTTGTATACTTGGTATAGTATATACAGGATGAACCAATTAAGTCATATCACCCCTTTTATCTCCTCATCCGTGAAAGATACGAAGATACCGTTTGGACAGTCCGTAACATAGACGGGCTACTTGATTAAAAATTTCTTTTAGTAATTTAAAATAGCACATTTCGGTTCTGTACTATTTTAAATTACAAGGATATGAGGTCAACTCTGTTTTTTCAAATGAAA